CCCGTTCAGGCAAGGTGTTCGGTGTGTGGGACCCCGCCATAGGTGATAATTTCTACCTGAAGTATCCCGAACGCCGATCGATATTTGGGCCTTGATACCTTGGCATAATCGTTACCCAGAATGTTCCAAGTATAAGTTTTATCCCGAATGCCGTTCGGGAGTAGGGATATTGGGCCTTGATATTTGGGCTTGCTGCTTCTTCCCGGATTTGGGCCTAGGGATATTGGGCCTGGACCCAATATCCCAACTAGAATCTGCACTCTGCAGGGCATTCATTCAACAATTTTTTGAATGATTGATATTTCAATCAATGGAAAATTTGGGAAATTTTCACCATTCTCCGCCTCATACACTGCAACAACGACTTTTGAGAAATTTGTGACTCCCCACAAACAATTAAGGTATTCTGCAAAGGAGTGTGTTGTGCTATTCTGCAAAGGAGTCAACAACTCTTAATTCCAAAGCTAAATGAAAAGAATCAAAGGGAAGTTATACATAGTTATATGTAATAAATTGATATCATACGAGAAATTATGAATATGTTATGATACTTGTATATATATTTTTGTTTCTTTTAGTTGCATCCCTGGTGTTGTTTTTTGTTGTGTAATGTTGCTTTTTTTGTAACTTGTTGAATTGTGTTGCTTATTGTTGTTTATTATTGATTTTAATTTTTGTTATTCATTTAGGTGTTTATGTATCTTTGCTATTGGTTTTAAATAAAAAATTCATATGTGTCATGTGTGTATAAACACCTAATATGATAAATTTAGGTTTATGAATGTTAGCAACAACTAGAAACATGAATAAACTATAAAAAAAAAAACTTTTAAAGTTATTAACAAAAAGAAACAAAAAGCAACAACAGAGATGATAATAATAAAAATTGTTTTTTTTTTTACCTATTTTTAGAAAACTGGAAATTCGAATTTTAATTTTTTTTCAATTTATATATATTCATACATGTTCAATCTGTAATTTTAATAGCTTTATTTTTTGTATTATGAAAATTTTATGCGTTTTATAGTTTACATTAAATATATGGTATTTTTAAAAAATTTACAAGTTGTATATTACTACCTCCGTTCTTTTTTATTAGTCCTCCTTTCATTTTTGGGACGTTTTTTTTATCTGTCCTCCTTTCCATTTAAGGAAAGTTTTTACTTTAAATATACCTTTATACCCCAACTTTTATTACCATTACCCCTTTCTCTTTCCTACTTTTTCATTTACCCTTAAAACCCGTGCCAAAGCCTAGGAGAACTTATATTAAAGAACAGAGGGAGTATAGTTTTAGTTTACTTTAAACAATTCAATTTGAATTTTTTAATATATTCAAATTTATATATTTAATTTTTTTTTGTTTTATGCATATTACGATTTTAAAATATTTACTCTTTCATAAAAAATATTTTTTTATTTTTATTTTTATTCACATTTGTTACTGCTAATACAAATGTCTAATTTTCTTTTATTTAAACGTGTATTATTTTCAACGTTGATATATTTTTCTGTCGTTTTTATTTTTTCTGTTTTTTTCTGTCTGCCCAGATACGTTACTGACAAATTTCACGAGACACCTATCCATTTTAATGATTCGAGGATAAGTGTGTTTGGCAACCAAGCCCTAGAGGCAATTTCACTTTTAGTAGTGCCTATGATGCTAATAGGCCAAAGAGGCATCCAAATCCCACTGCCAAATATATTTGGAATGCTCGCACACCAAAAACAATATCCTTTTTCTTATGGAGAATTCAAAACAATCTTATTCCTTTTGAGGAAAATCTGACTCACATGGGCTTTTTAGGCCCTTTCAAATGCCCGTTTTGTTAAAATCATGACACCAAAGAGCATTTTTTCCTTAAGTGCGATTTTAACAAAGAAATATGGAGCTACTTTGAAAATATTTTTAAGTTCCACCCACCTCATGATAGTAGCCTCAATACCTATATGGTGCGTTGGTATAAGGACTTTAAAGGTCCCTCTCAGGAACTTAATTTCATTCTTCCAAATATCATTATTTGGCATCTTTGGAAAATCCGCAATACTTTTCTTTATGATGAAAAAAAGGTCATATTCCTGAGGCTATCAAAGCTATTAAAAATGATCTTTTTGCCTTATCGGTTGCCAAACCTTTTATCACAAACACCTCACATCCTCAAATCAATCTTCTCACTATAAGGCCCAAAAAAATCCACACCATACCTACTGCTGCCCATTGGATAAAACCCCCCAAGGAGTACTTCAAAATAAATATGGCTTCTTGCGATCTTAATCCCAATCTCATCCGCACGGTTGCTCTCATCCGCAATGCCACCGGAAGCTACACTGGTCATATCTCCCAGCTTGATAAGCATAATGACCATTCTCTTGCTATTTATGATGTTATTATTAACCTTTTTACTCATCTTAATTTTGATAATATTATTATTGAGGTTGATAACAAAGACATTTATGAAGGCATCATTGGTCATTCCATTCAACACTGGAAATATTGGTCCCGCATATGCACTGTCAAGAAAAAGCTAAAGGAATTCAATTGGACAATCATGCACATCAATCGTGAAGTCAACAAAGCAGCCGATTACTTAGCTTACCGCTACACTTCCATTAAAACCAAAAATCATCATTTCAACCAATTTGTTGGTATCCTAAAGTTTGACGCTATTAGTTATCCTTATGTTGTTTAATCTATGAGTAGGCGTTGGTTTGGTCCTCCTACTCCATGTATATTTCTTTGGTTAATAAATAGGTGGGGTGTTACCTGGCCCTCACCCCAAAACTCTCGGGTTTTGGACTAAACCGGGTTCTAAAAAAAAAATTTAGAAAATATTAAATTTATAAGAGTATTTTGTAATTTGAAAATTAAATTTATTTTATATATTTTATTTTCATTTGTAAGAGTTTTAACATTTATAATTATTATTCTGAAGTTTTATATTTCAAGGTTAAAAATGGTATAATATCTTTATTTTTAAATTTGAATTTTATTAGACTTAGTTTTTTTAAAATTATTTTCATCTTCCAAACTTGTAATTAATCTTTTCTTTTGTACTCCGTATTTAAAAACAAACATCACGTAATCCCTGCACTTTGGAGATTGGATTAGTTAATCAAAGAGGGGTTAGTGATTTAGAATAGTTTTGGCAACTTAACGGCACTTCTAGGGAGTAAAGATTCGTATGGAGTTCTACCTATAACGTCTATTTGGGAAAAGATAACTTTACCTAGTTTATTTTTTTTTTTTGAAAAAAGGCGACTTAAATTGATAAGAAAACATTCAGAAAAGGACAAAAGAGATAGAACAACCACTTCCATCCATCGACCCTTGAACTAGTCGGAGAACCAGTCACCTAAACAGAGCAATCTGATTCACTTATCCTATAACGGGTTTACATGAGCCTACCATGGCCAAAGTAGAAACCTCATCACCCGCACCTAATGTAAGTGTTGGGTAACTACCGTCAACAATCCTAAGATCTACAGTATTATTGCTGGAGTAGCACAGCACAACCAAAACAGGAAAAACCAAACAACAACGAAACATGAATAAAACTAGATAAGCCAAATAAAATTCTTTACCCCTGACACCTGGTTCGCTCCTGGTGGTGGTTCACGAACTAGACCTTTGCTATGCTGATTGACGCGGGCAAGACCCGCCTCCAAACCCGAACGCCGTTGCTCCAGTCCGACGCGCCAGACCTCTGACAGTCCGTCTCTCGTTGAGCCATTGGTATCGGTATCATCACTCCGCTGTTGAGCCGCTGCAGCAGCCGTCCTATCCATGCCCTGTTTTCGTCCGAAGCCATGGAGTCAAAAACTTTCGTCAATCGAAGAAATCGGCGCCGCACCAACAGAAAACTCAATCGGCCTCACCCTCCGTCTCGCCTCCAAAGTCCAAAATCGGTAAGAGAAAAAATCAGGTGTGTCACCGGTTGAAGGGGATCAAAACTCCCCAAGCCAGCAAAACCGTTTTTAGAGAGAGAAGCTCTCTGGATTTTTTTTTATTTTCACTAGTATAGTACCCGTGCATTCGCACGGGTCGTTATTGTTTTGTAAATTTTAATTTGTTGCAAATTAATTCTTTTGTATATATATATCGAGCCTTGCAATTTCATTCTTTTGTCTATACACACACACACCGAGCCTTGCAATTTTTAAAATAAAAATCAAGATTATCTCATTAAACATTACTTTATAAATAAGAACTAAACCATCGATTAAATATATTGAAAGCGATAGTGAAAAATATGAACATCACGAATTTTATGTAATGTACACCATGTCAAATGATAATAAACAAAGATTCAAAAGATTGAATAACCTACTTTGAAAAGCCATTTAATAAACTTAAGAGTATTGATGAATAACCTACTTTGAAAGTTGAGAATCTTAAATTCAAAATTTAGAAGTCTAAAAATTGTTAATTTAATATTTTCAAGAAACAGAGATGGTAAATTAAAAGGAATTAAAGGATAAAAATAAATCTGAATTAAACCCCCTAATTGACTATCTTGAACTCTTTTAGAAAATTGTTTGTAACATCTAAAAGAGCAGAGTCCACCAATTTTACACTCATGAGCTTTTCCCATGAGGAACTCATGCACTTCTGTACTTGATAAGAATAGAAGGCCTCAATGAATTGAATAAAAAAACAATGTAATCATGAATTATGAAGTACACAAAGGATTTGTGTAAATTAAATTTAGTGCTACAACGATCACGATGAGCCCAAATGAAGGACCATGATGGCATGATTGAATGAATTGTGGTTTTTAGATCATCAGCGACGGGAAATTGTACTTTGTAGGTATTTATTTTGTTTGAGCGAGAAAGTGATGATTTTTTATGTATCAGGGGGAATGTTTACAATAAGAAGTGCCAGGTCTGCATTTTTCTTGTCAAAATCATAAAACTTTTGAACAGTTTATTTGTCACTTACTCAAATTAAAGAACCAATTTAGCAAGGAGATTACAAATCTCCAAAGGAGGGACCCCAAACTATGTCGGCATTAACACTTCAGAACAAAATGGAATAAAATTTAGTTAATCTACTGTGGAAGCTAGAAAACATTTTCATATTTTTCAAGAGTTTAAGCACCCTTTTCATTTGAACCGCACTCTATATACATATAAATTCAACATTGTAACATCACATTGCATGTTGTGAATTCTTTTCCCCCCTATGTAAGTAATATACATGACAGAAGAGAAACTATAGCAGAAAGATACTCTCTGAGTGTTGATCCCAACTGCTTCCACATAGAGATCCAGCTTTCCAATTGCAATACCAATTCCCTGAAATCAAAGGTCTCCTAGCCCCAATATTCTACTTCATTTAAAAGATAAAAAGAGTAGGGAGTGGTTCAGAGGGTTTAAAAATGTAGAATGATTTTTTTAAAGTATAGGAGCGGGCCCAGGATGGCCCGTGCCTGGAACCGGAATAATCGGGACTGGTCTTGGTTCACCCCACCCCACCCCCGGGGATGATCGGGCCAGATCCATCCCTAACTTTGAGCATAGAAGTCGAAGTTCAAAAACCAAACACGGAAGAATGGTTTTTTTTAATATGCCCACACTTCTATTATAGTATTTGTTCTTCACGGAAGAACAGTTTAATTTATACTCTGTAATATTTAGGGAATCCCTACCGATTGAAATCATGTGCCAAAATGCGTGGGCACATGATTGGCCACACATTTGGCCAGTATATGAGTAACAACAGGCCAGTCTAATTTTATTTTCATTTTGCATAAAGTCACATGTCTTGTTTTTCAAAACCATTTCATTTAATTAGACATTCATTTAAACTGTTTGTTAAACACAGAGATATACTGAATGTAATTTCGAGCATCTCCCACCTTGCTAATTAATTAAGAATATATAAACTGGCATACATATATGAAATCATTCATATAGAGCCTCTGTAAAAGTATAGTAAATTTTCAGTGACTATAAGACTTCCATTTACATCCCAAATCTGCAAATAAAGATTTAAGGAGTTTAGAATTACATTTTGAGGTAGAATGTGAATAAAAAACCTCACAATTATAAATTAAGTAATGTGTTAAGGTCAAGACACATAAGCATGAGGGGGGCTTAGTTAAAAAAAATCAGAGCTAAAGTAGCAATCTACAATCTCAAAAAGCAGTAAGACTGTTTCACAATTAGTAGGAATATGGAATATGAAATTACATATATAATCGAAATCTGCAATTTTAATCTCAAACCCTAACTGTTGTTAATTATGTAAAATTTCATGAAGACGAAAGGGGATAAAAACTAAAACATGAACTTAGAGATATAAATTGGAGTGGTTAAGAACCCTGGAAGACATTGAGATTGGAGATTAGTTTACCCTTTTTGGTTACTAAAAGAGTGTCCATTAGCGGTGGGCAAACGGGTCTTGGAACCGCGGTCCGATCCAGGTAATGGCGGTTCGGGTCCAAAACGGGCCGGTTCCATTTTTTGTTGCTATAAAACGGTCCGGGTAGGGGCGGGTAATTTTTTTTAAGGAACCGGACCGGTTCCAAAATTAAAAAATAACGGGTACCTGGCCCGGCCCGTTATATATATTGTATATTAATTTATTAATAGTTTTGTGATAATCGGTTTTGAAATAGTTTTGTTTCCTTTGCTAGAAGTAGGATTTTAAATTGAGTTGCAGTAACATCCTTTTGTTTTCAAATTATTGATTAAATGTTTCATAAATATCTTATTACTTTTTATTGTTATTGAATTATTCCTTTCTATGGAATTTAATTATTTGTTAAAAATGATTTTGTTATTTTTTTTTATTGTTCTTAAAATATATAAATTGTGTTTACCACCCACCATGTATGTGTCAACTTTGGCTAATACTGAAAATTTAATATAAAAAACAATCACTTTAATATGTGATGTTGTTAGACAACATGTTAAAATACAAATGTTAGAAAATATGTATTTTGGGTACGTTGCATATTTTTAGAATTTCTTTAATTGTTTGAAACTTATATACATGAAATTATGGAGTATTGGACTTGTCACTTGTGTTACATGTGCACCACTATGTTGTTATTTTGAAACTTGCTAATGTCCTATATTATTAATTATTGATTTTTGGAACTTCGTGAGTTTTTACTAATTTCAAGACATGAGAATAGAAACCGTAAAACCAGGGCCGGACCGACCCGTTTCAAACGGGCCGGGTAACTTCCGATTCCTATTTTGAAAATTGTAATACTCGGACCAGACCGAACCGTACAATGGAACCGCCGGTTCCATTTTATTTTGCATTACCCGCCCCGACCCGGCCCGTGCCCAGCCCTACTGTCCATTACCTCCGAAATCTCCATATAAAGTTTTAGGAAGCATTTATTAGAAAAAGTTCATATATGAAAAAGAGTGACAAAAAACTCAGAATCGTAATTCGCTTATAAACTTACTTATTATCACATGAAGCGGGGTATGTTCAGCGAGTTGAAGAATGCCATTAACATCCCAAATCTGGAAATGAAGATTTAAGAAGGTATTGGTAAGAAAAAATCTGTAGGTAGAAATGATCCATGTGTCTATCTATGAGAGGCCATGAAAGTAGTAGAATCTGTGAGTAGATCAATCTTTATTCAAGAGTAAAAAGAAAGGCCGTAAAAAAGAGCTAGGGGGCAACCTTAGTTTAGAACTGAACTCTTGAACTGGTTGGTCTTCAATCATAACCTGAAGTAAATGGAAAGGAATGTAGTTTATTAGAAACGTAGTTTATTTATATATAAATAGATTCCAAGCAACATAAATTAATAATGATGATTATGATCTTAAAGAATAATCCGAATGTAAGCCCAAAATCGTCTTAAGTATATGCAATTGACATGTTGATTCTTTTAAGCGAATGTTAGCATGTATATGCGTTTTTTTATTAAAATGTTTCAGGCCATTAGATAGACTTTTTCAATGTCATTGTTCAGAAAAAGATGGGCTTGTTACTCGATCATATACCCAAGGCTTTGTGCTTGCAAAGTTGGTTGATTTGGTTGAAGGGGAAAAACTATAATACTAACTGAAATATACTCCGTAATTGTTTTGACGTGTACAAACCGTGTGGTACTCTTGGACGGAGAGCGAGTAGATGAGAGACCTTTTGTACATGGCAAGCTCTGGCGGTATATCAGCCAATTGGTCCAGGAAGTTTCGGAGAAGAATAAGCTTAGGATTTTGCCTTGTACCTTATTAACGGCATATATACAGAGAAGAATTTAGACTCGCTGGTATACTCTCTGGAAGAAAAAAGGACGAAGACACGTGGAAGCTGTGAAGAACTTTTACTACAAAGAAACCAAAAAGTACACAGTAAAATTGAAAGAGTAAGAGACCTGTGGTAAAAGGTAGGGTGTGTACTAAACCCATTAAAAGCAAACATGAACACAAAAATGAAAGAAAACATGAACAAAGAGGAAACATTGTTGCTGATGTGTTCATTCTTTCATTTTTACATGACTTTTAGGCACACCAAAGCATATAAGGTGTTCGATGAAATGTTTATATGAGAAAAGCATGTTACTTTTTATAGTTCGCCTTATCAGTTTTAGTTTTTTTTAGTTTAGATGATATGAAAATAAGTGAAATAACTCATCAATGTCATTATACTAAATAGCATATTACTTTTTATAGTTCGCCTTATCAGTTTTAGTATTCCCTAACTGTAGTTTAGTATAATGACATTGAGTTATTTCACCGATTTTCATATCATCTAAACTAAAAAAAAAACTAAAACTGATAAGGCAAACTATAAAAAGTAATATGCTTTTCTCATATAAACATTTCATCTAACACCTTGTATGCTTTTACCTTATATGCTTTGGTGGCTTGGTGCGCCTAAAAGTCATTTTAGAATGGAGGAATGAATACATCAGCAACATTGAATGCGAAAAATGAATCAGGCAATAGTAAGATGGCTGATCTGTTAATAAAGCATAAAAATCCATAGTGTGTTTTATGAAGAGATTCGTGTTCCTCAAATGATTCAATTTGTAGGGGTAAATATAATGCAATTCAAAAGGCGTATAGATATGATAGAATGAGAGGCAGCGTACATCGGTACATGTATGTCAACTGCGCAGTAATCTCATCGATAGAAAGGGAGTAGATGAGAGACGTGTTCTACGTGGTAAGCTCCATTGTATCTCCCAAAATTTCAGCTAATTTGTTTGGGATTTCCGAAGAAGAAAACTCTGGCTTCTAGTCCTTCGACTTATTTATCGGCAAAAAAGTACGGAGTACATCGCAGGAGAAGCCTTGGATAGTCTGGTTTTTTTTTCTTCAATAAAATAAAAAAAATAAAAACAAAAGAAGACACGTGGATTGTTAATAGAAGGAGCGTGAATTCAGCAAAGCAAGACACGTAGGAACTTGAGGGTATAATTGTACTTTGAGTAGCCTATTCTTTTCTTATATATAAATAGATGCCGAATTATTGTACTCCGTACTTCAAATCTTTAATCCCTGTTATTGACTTTTTGTTTTTCTTTTAAACTTTTCCTTTTAAGTTAAATAATAACAAAAATTCCTTTTGTACACGTTTTTCTACCCATCAGTACACGCATGTGTCTGTGAAAGTTTTTTTTGTCTGTGAAGCGCGGTCCACAGACAAAAGCTGTTTTGTTTTGTCTGTGAAATTTTCCACAGACAAAACAAGCCAACTTATGTCTGTGGACCGCGCTTCACAGACAAAAAAACTCTCACAGACACATGCGTGTAGTGATGGGTACAAAAACGTGTACACCAAGAATGGTTGAAATAATAATTAATGGTCATATTTGTAGTCCATCTCGGTATCACAGCAGGCTACAACAACTAGTGACCAAAGCCCAGCCCAGCCCAGCCTGACCTAGAATTCTCTCACGCCTATATATACTCAACTGGACAGAAAAGAAGGAAATTTTACCTAGTTTATTTTTGAAAAGAAATTGGGAGAGTAACAAAAGTGATATTATTTTCAGTTTTTAGTTCATTTGTGAAAAAATCCCTTTAAAATTGGATATAAAATGACTATGCATGTGCGGGTACAGCTCCTATATCTAATAACTAGATTCTTTGCCCGTGCGTTGCACGGGATGCACATGTTATACATTTATATGACAGTGGGGATCTAACGAATAGTTTGACCAGCTCGAATTTACATATGTTAAAAATTTGAGATTGATTTTTTAGAACACAAAGTTTGACAAAGTTGGGATCACTTCATACTAACAAAAATACTTGTCATTAGATATATAAATATTTTAATTTGTTACCTATTTTTGTTTATAGAATATAATTACAAAGGATTCAAGTAATTGAGTAACGCTGAAATATTTGTAAACATCCAATAAGCAAAACATTAATTGATAGTATAGCTTTAAAATCAAATTTTTTACATTATCAAACACTCAATATCAATATGCACGGAGTAATACATTTTCATAATATTAGTAGAAAAAGTGACTGTTTAAAGGTGTATGCTTATAATTGAAAGCATTCCAATCAAAATATCATAAACGTTTTAATATGTGTTAACTGAAATCCTGCCAATTATATATTACTATTATTAGTTTATTATTTTAAATTGAAAATTTATTCCAATTACTCCATAATAGATAGTATATTACTATTTAGTACTACTATTATCATTGCTAATTTTTTATATTCGTCTTATTGTTTAATGAGTATGAAATCATTAAATGTCTAATTGGAGGGAAACACAAGCTACACCTTGTCATTTTATATTATTATAGAAGATTATTATTATTATTATTATTATTATTATTATTATTATTAATATAACTATTATCAATACCTATACCTATAAGATGTCATTGAAATTTTCTTATGTATTGCAAGACAACAATAATCATGTTTTTAATTGGACTAAAGTTTTATGATCATGTCGTTTAAGTTGATCTGATGGACTAATCTGATCTGGTCCAGTAAGTGTCAAGTGTATGTATATTTTACTTATCTATTCTGATATAATCAAATCTATTGTATTTAAATTTGATGTGATTTGGTCTAGTTTCTTTAAATCTGGTCTGTTGTAGTTTATAATTGAAAACATTCAAATCAAAATATTGTAAACATTCTAATGTGTTTTTGTGTTAACTGAAATCACGTCAATTATGTATCATATTATTACATTATTATCATTACTATTATTATTAATATTATTATCATTATTATTATTATTATTATTTTGAATTGAAAATATTCCAATTAATCCATATTATATTACTATTTAGTATTTACTATGCCTATTATTATTACTAATTGCAAATTATTAATATGACTCTTATTGTTGAATAGGTATAAAGCATTAATTGTCTAATTGGAGGGAAAAGCAAGGTGCTAGACCTTGTTACTTTATATTATTATAGATAGATAGACTAATATCATACATCCGAGTGTAGGTACATCCAGTCCAACTGACGAAGACAACTCATTAACTAATATTGTTCAAGTTTTTTCTAAATGAGCTTTAGTCTACTTTTAGTTACCATCTGACACATTCTATTGAGTATTAGGAGGCTAACCATGAACACCATGATCTTTGCTTCATATCTTCTAATTCAATTTTGTTTTCTTATTTTTTCTTTTATAAAAGTTACTCCCTCCGTCCCTAAATGTTGTTCCAATTGCGGTTTACGAGGTTGACCGACGATAAAGTTAAATGATCCCTGTGAAAACTCGGATTATTTTTAGTAAATAAAATTTACATGTTCAGAAACTACATTAAACCCGCTACAAAGCCTGCAAAAAGTAATTCAACTTTCATAAAATTTTGATATAAAAAGTAAGAGATTAAGAGTGATTTAAGTTGACCAAGGAATAGTGAAATGGAACTTCTTTTAGGGACAGAGGGAGTATTAATTTATATCTATAATACACTCATATGAATTTCAATATGTGAATTTAATGTAATATGATACTCTTTTGAAATATGCATTGATATGACATTTTGAAATGAGAATAACATCAATATCAAATGAGCATACGCAAATCACAAAATGTTCATTGATATGAAAATTGTAAGGTTTGTTAGAATAACATAATGATTTTCATTGAGTATCGAACCTCTTCTATTGAAATGAAATTCACGTTTTCTGTGAAATGAGCATTAATGAACTTTTAATGAGCATCAAACCTATTTTGTTGAGTATTATTGAGCATCGAGAATTTTTCTTCATAACTTCTGATTCACTTTCTTTTTCTTATTTTTTTTATATAATTTTTTTTAAATTATGTCTATAATAGACTCCTATTGATTCCAATATACGAATCTTATTTAATATTAAAATTTTGGAATATGCATCAAGACATTTCATTTAGCATCAATACATTTTCATTGAGGATCAACTTTTCTATATTGAACATTGAAACTCTCAATAGTCAGTCGTAATAGTATTTATCTTAATACGTTATATCGATATATGTACATTTCGTGTAAATATCATACTCACTCGGATATAGCTTAAAACTCATTTTTTGTACTCATCATTTTATAATGTTATACCAACACTCATTTCTTTGAAAGTTATGCGCATATATGTATAACATAAAACTCATTTCTACAACTCACGCATGTAACATATTCATTACAAATAACTTAGTATAAATCTTTTATAACAATAAATCTCAACCAGTTTTAACAAAATTCACATTATAAAATCGATGAGTGCTCATTATATTTTACATGTAATGATAGATAAGTATAGCATTAATCGCTCAAAATATCACATAAGAATCATTAATAGTCGAATTCAATATATAAAAACTAAACATAAAATCTAATACAGAGTAGCAAATTGTTTAAAGATAAAACTTACTGCGTATAAAATAACAAACGAGATCAAGAATTCCTTAATTCAAGTAGCATAAAAGCTATTTAATTTAGTTTAATGCAAAAAAATGAACTATATAATGCAAAATAAATTATACATAGTCAATACTATATTCAAGCACAACAAAGTTTATTTAAAATTTGCTCGTTAATTTTCAAGTAGAAATGAACAAAAATTCACTTCGGAAATTTTACGAACAGTTGGCGGGCAATAGCATTTACGTAGTAGAAGATAATTTTAATCAACTTATTAGATCATTACTAGTTAAATAGAAGAATGAAGATGTTTCGATCAGATTATCGTTATCTTTAATGTTTTCAGAATTCAAATTGAATCAATTTTGGGATGAATTTTATAATTATTGATGAAATAAAGAGTAAAAAGAAGAGTGAAGTCTAGAAGTTCCAGAAGTGCCCTGGGAACAACATCGAGAACAGGGTGCAAACTCAAATGGATTCATAATATTTAGGCGGAGACTTCTAACGAATTACAAAAATACCGGATATAGGTGTACAACCGGATGTAGCGTATAACATGCGGTACACATAAGAATAAAATCTCATGGAATCATATATAGTGAAAGGCATACTCTTTTAGTCACAAGGGTCATATTCTCTAAAAATTACTCTCTCCGTCCCGAAATAAATTTCCTACTCTCATTTTCGGTCTGTCCCAAAATAATTGTCTAGTTTCCTCTTTTGGCAATAATGTGTGGCTCATATCAATTCGTTTTTTCTACTCAAATCTCAACCACAACTTTTTTACCTTTTCAATCACTTTCTTAAAACTTGTGCAAAGGCAAACAAAACGTTTATTTTGGGACGGAGGGAGTACTAAAGTGGAGAAAATTGTAACTTTGAGTTGCTGATGAACAGGAAAATCGCCCAAGTGTTACAGGTGGTTTCAAGCTTCTTGATATCCCCGACTCCCCGTTCTCCAGTGAGGGTGGGGAGGTTTGATTTGCAATGGTGCACCCCAAACTGCTCTTGGATTCCGGAAACAATGGTTAGATTCAAATCGATAAATAAAAATCAATTTCTTCGTGAACAGTAATCTTTGCACATTCTGAGATCGTTTTTTGTGAGTTTTTGGGCTCGATACATCGATCCGCCTTAAATTCCAAGCTCATAATTAAATAGGTTTAGGAATAAATTTTGTCTAGAAAACAACAAGAAAACGCAGAATCTACCATCCCAATTCATAGTTACGATGAAGATCGTATCACGAGAGCCTAGACAGTTCCAGGGAGAGAAGCTCATAAACGGGTTTGGGTTTTTAAAAGAGTTGGCGGTGTGAAGAACGTTGTATTCTGCCAGAGAAGCCATAGAAGAAATGGCTATGGCGGTGTAGGTGAAGAAGGTTGTATTCAGCCAGAGAAGACATGGGAGATTGGTAGCTAGTAACCTGGTAATTGATGGAAGGAAGCTGTTAATTCAAGGTT